CTGACAGAATTGAAGGGAGAAATATACAGCTCTCCAATAATAGAAAGAGACTCCCTACCTTTCTTTCAAATGCATAGGACACCCAGACAAAAGATAAATAAGGAAACAGATAATTTGAAGAACATTATACATCAATTCAACCTAAGAGACATTTACATAACTCTCCGTCCCTCAACAGAATACTCATTTTCTCAACTGCACATGAAACAGTCTTCAAGACAGACCATATATTAGGCCACAAAACAAGTCTTGATAAATGTAAAAGTTTGACACTATAAAAATGTATTTTCCAATTGCAATCTAGATCATAACAAGTAGACATCAATAGCAGTACAAAAAGTGGAAAAAGACTGAGGCGAGAGGACTGCTTGAGTCTAGAAGTTTGAGACCAGCCTGAGCAACATGGTGAGACTCTGTCTCTACCACAAAAAACAAAAAACAAACAAAAAGGCCGGGCCAAGGTGGGCAGATCACTCGAGGTCAGGAGTTCAAGACCAGCCTGACCAACATGGTGAAACCCTATCTGTACAAAAAATACAAAATTAGTTGGGCGTGGTTGGTGGTGCATGCCTATAATCCCAGCTACTTGGGAGGCTGAGGCAGGAGAATCGCTTGAACCTGGGAGGCAGACATTGCAATGAGCCGAGATTGCATCATTGCACTCCAGCCTGGGCAATAAGAGCGACACTCCGTCTCAAAAAAAAAAAAAAGTATATATTTGCTAGTTTTGTCAGCTGAGAGGGTTAAGAATCAATAACACTAAGGTAGCAGTGATCACACCCAGCACTCAGTTCTTTGTTTCTAACTACATTTTCCACAAATAGGAACCAGAAGTCCTAGGAGAAATATCTGATCTCATGGCTAGGGTAGGGAAAATACCCAATGAACTTGAAAAATACCTCATGAACTTGGAACACACAGCACACAGTATCAGAAAGTAAACCAGTGCACAAGGAGCTCATATCATGATGAACAGGAAGAGCTAGAAGGCAAGAGGGGACTGCTTGAAGAGGATTTTACTGGCAAAATCTGAGACAACCAGAGAATCAAAATAATAACAGTAGTAGATGTGAACTCATTAATATAATAAAAATTCACAAATCCACACTGGTATAAACAAATAAATAATATAGATGGAAAGCTTTTTCTTAGAGCATAATGCCAAGAAATAAACATAGAATAAGTTGGAGTATCTCAATTTTTCACCAGATAGTAGTAACTTTTTAGGGGAAAAATAATTTTAGAGTGCAGAATTCTGGAGAGAAACACCTTAATCAACTGTTCAAGTTTAGCAGCACCATTAATGGATAAAAACTAGTATCTGGTACATCCTGAGATCATGCACTAAGGAGAGGAATTGATCATAATCCAGAAAGACATAATCTTGAATGTTGGAGTCGCTGAAGATCAAAATGTTAAAAATATAACTCTGGAAAAATAATTTTAAATTATTTAGAAGATATTGATTGATTTACATTTCTTTCTTCCTTTTTTTTTTTTTTTTTCTGAGACAGTCTTGCTCTGTCACTCAGCTGGAGTGCACTTCGCTTCCTTCCTCCCTCCCTTCCATTTATTATTATTTTTTTTTTCTGAGACAGTGTCTCGTTCTGTCACCCAGATTGGAGTACAGAGGCGTGATCTTGGTCTCCCAAGTTCAAGTGATTCTTGTACCTCAACCTCCTGAGTAGCTGGGATTACACGCATGTACCACCATGCCACGCCCAGCTAATTTTTTGTATTTCTAGTAGAGACAGCGTTTCACTATGTTGGCTAGGCTGGTCTCCAGCTCCTGGCCTCAAGTAATCCACTGGCCTTGGCCTTCCAAAGTACTGGGTTTACAAGCGTGAGCCACTGCGCCTGGCCAAGATAAAGCATCTCAATGAATTTTGTCATTTGGAAGGGCAGACTAGAGCAACAATACAGCTGTAACTGGTATAGAAATGGCAGTCAGTCAATTTTCAAAGAAGGGGGATGTGTGGCATTGTGTGGTTAGCATAGTAACCTTGTTTTTATGTGTAAACAAAATTGTGAAAATGTATTTTTTTAGTTTATAAAATGAATCTAGAACGTGAGACTTCGTTTTTTAAAAAACAAAAACATAGATTGATGTGTATTAGTCCATTCCCGCATTGCTATAAAGAAATACTTGAGTCTGGGTAATTTATAAAGAGGTTTAATTGGCTAATGCAGGGTCCTGCAGGCTGTAGAGGAAGTATAGCAGCATCAGCTCAGCTTCTGGGGAGGCCTCTGGAAACTTACAATTATGCTGCAAAGCAACTAGGGAGCCAGCACTTCACATGGCCACAGTAGGAGGAAAAGAGCGAGCAGTGAGGTGCTACACAATTTTGAACAACCAGGTCTCATGAGAACTCTATCAGGAGAACAGCACTAGGGGGATGGTGCTAAACCATTAGAAACCTCCCCAATGATCCAATCACCTCCTACCAGGCCCCAACTCCAACATTGGGGATCACATTTCAAAGTGAGATTTGGGTGGGGACACAGATCTAAACAATATACATAGGCCAATGTATGTTTATGAGGAGAAAAAAATCTGGTTATCTTTTTTTATTTTTTCCCGAGACGGAGTCTTGCTCTGTCGCCCAGACTGGAGTGCAGTGGCACGATCATCCGCTCACTGCAACCTCCGCCTCTCAGGTTCAAGCGATTCTCCTGTCTCAGTCTCCCGAGTAGCTGGGATTACAGGCACACGCCACCATGCCCGGCTAATTTTTGTATTCTTAGTAGAGATGGGTTTTCACCATATTCTCCTGGCTGCTCTCAAACTCTTGACATTGTGATCCGCCCGCCTCGGCCTCCCAAAGTGCTGGGATTACACGCGTGAGTCACCGCACCCAGCCCCTGGTTATCTTGAAGAAGGATTTTAGATGGGTTGTTTTCTGATTTTGCCTTATTCTATTATTAATTTGTATCAACCAACATAAGCCAGATTCCAAATTGCTAACTATAATAAGGATATTTTAACCAAAAAATATAAAGGGAGAAAATAAAATATTTTCCCTATGTATAAGATCCTTCTTAATGCTACTGCATTAAATAAATCATAGGCATTGGGTGTCTGACATCAATGCCAAGTGCTTCACCAGTTACACTTGCTTTGAAGTACTGGGCAATTTACGGCCTTCTCTGAAATTTGGTGTTTTTACCTCTTCAGTAGACATAATACCACGAAAAGTGTAATGAAGGAAGATAGCTTTTCCATGAGGACGAGGCTTCCCCACTGGCCCTTTCCTGCCAAACCAGTGGTACCACAGCGTCCAGAGTAGGGCCTGGCGCCTCTGTTCTTCATTGCCTCTCCCAAATCATTGTACTTTGCTCATTCTTTAAACTTTTAGTTTTAGCCTTATATTATCAGTTTATAGTAATCAATCATCAATCATCTACTGACCCCTAAAAAGTCATTCCTCGTTTATTCCTTGAAGATTGGATCTCCTCGCTTTCCAATAACGCTCCTGTAGTCCTGGGAGGAGTTTAGACTTCAGGAATTCCTGTCTGTTCAGTATTTTCGCTCAAGGACTCAGGGAGAGGGAAGGACGATCCTCAGGGTCACAGTCCACATTCCCTACTAGGCGCTCAGAGATATAGGATTCGTTCCCCATGGGCATTGCGGAAATCGTAGTCAAGGATCACCGCGGAGTCCCAGCGCTTTCCCTGAAGGGTGAGATTCTGAACGTTTTTCCCTCAGCGTTCTGAGCGCAGTCCAAACGTTCAGTGGAGTCCTGGTCATTTTGGCTCACGCGGGCGGGTCCGGGGGATTCTGGGAAATGTAGTCCCGACAATCAGTGGAGTCGCGGGCACTTCCGCTCCGGGGAAGGGGGAGCGGTTGGCGCGGCGCATTCCAGCGTAGTTTGTTCCAGTTCCGCGACTTGCGGGCCATTTATACTGTCAGGGTCTTAAGCTTGGGGCTCGCTGGGACCTGGTGATCCGGTTATGGGAAAAAAAGCCTCGTCGGAGAGCAAAGGTTTGGAGGAACGAGGGCGGCGGCTTTTGTTGTGTCAGCGGAGCCTTCTTGGGCTGGGGCTCTCCTCGCGTTTCGGGGCGGGAGGCGGGGGGCATTGAGACTTGGTTGGGTCGCGTCTCGCCTGGTTTCAGCGTTTCCGGGGCTCTGAACTCGCCCAGTCCGCCTTCCTGCACTCCAGGCGCATGGTCACTTTTTTACAGTGCAAGGTTG